ACGCAGTCACCGTGGAGGTGCAATGGTGGTTGATACCGCAGTCGAGTTGGCTTCGGAAAGTGTCATCCCGTGCATGTCAACCAACCACAGTTATTAGTTGTTCTTTGACACTGATTGATTGCTTGATGCCATCTGACCACCCACGGAAGCCAACAATGCCCTCAACGGCAAGGGGTTGACACCATGACTCTGATGAGACCAGTCATCTTAGTCTAGTTTTCATCCAGTGCGCCGTCACGTGCATGTTCTACGTGCCGGAAAGTATGGTATTTCAAAACTTCCACCAGTAGCTAACTCGTGGTATGGTTTGGTATGGTCCTCCATTACTGCAATTGCCTTTCTTTGGCGGAAGAGCGAACACCGTTGGGCAAGAAGGAGGAGAAGCCACCAGGTGCGGTGAAGAGCATGAGTGAGTTTCAGTCACAACGATGGATTCCACAACCAACGGCTTTGTTGTCTCACTTGGCTCGCCAAACTTTCTCGGTCCCACAACTTTGGCTGGCATCAAAAGTGCAATCCCATGCTAATCCCAATACCGGCTGTGGCAACGGTCGGGACCGATGAAATTTGCTTCTTCAACGCGCACCTCCGACGTCATACAGCTGTGGGGAAGTCATCATGCAGCTTCTCACCCGATAACCAGTAAAAAACGCCAGATGAAAAACGGTCAATCGTGCTCTATCGGAAGAAGGATCTTATGCGCTTGAACCGCTTGGGTTCGGCATCCAACCAAGAATTCATAGCCCACAAGACAGAAACGGCTGGTCCATCATCATCGCTTTCAAGTAACTCTCCAAACCAAACCACAAGCCAAAGGGTCGTGCATGGCTGCTTGCAAATCTCTTCGAAGGTTTGCCAGTTAGTCATCTTAGGAAAGCCATTCATTGAGCCAATCCGATCCCATCCAATACTTCTTCTCATTAATTTTGAGTAAAGAAGGAAGAGGCAACAGTCTACTTCACGACACCACACTACAACACAGAACAATAATCATGCCAGCCGAGCATCCACAACGTCTTTCTCGTTCGCCTTCTTGGTGGGAACGATCCATCGTGAAGCGATCTACCTATGCGATTGACAATCTCGTAGAGACCATGATGGGAGAATCGACCTTTCTGCAACGGCAAGAAGAAGAAGAGTCCTCATCTTCCGTTCTTCAATTGGATAGAAGTCAAGTCCAAGTGGGAGCCATGTTGGGCAAGGGTAGCTTCTCGGTCGTTTCGGAAGTGACTGGTTTGAACTTGGACCAGTCCACAGCAGCAGCATTCTCCGCGCAAACAGGAGAAGATCAACAGCAAGACACTGACTTGTGCTTGTCGTCCGTCTTGTCCCATCTCGTCGAGGAACAAGAAGAAGAAATGCCCCACAGCCACAAGCGACAGTACGCCATTAAGCATTTGCGTCCCGACTTGATCCCCAAAAGCGGCGACCCGGAACACTTTCAAGCGGCAGCCAGTGATCTCATCATGGAGGCCAAATACCTTTCATCCTTGAATCATCCCGGCATTCTCAAGCTTCGTGCCGTCGCCCAGGGTGGTTCCGCCGCGTTTTTAACCAATGGAGGAGACTATGACGGCTTTTTCATCATCACGGATCGTTTGCAAGGGACACTCAAAGATAAGATTCTGGAGTGGCAATGCCTACAACAGGAAGAGAGTCTCTTGGAATGTCTTCACATGGCAGCACACGATCACTCGCCATCATCATCAGCAGCACCCAGAACATGGGAAGAAGAATGCAAGGAAGACAACCTGACGGCTTTGACTTGCAGTACCAACAATCCCCGCAGACTATTGCTGGAAAAGTTGGACTTGGCACTCCAATTGGCACGGGCATTGCAATATATGCACGAACGTCGCTTGATATACCGCGATCTCAAACCGCAAAACATAGGCGTTACCGATGACAATACCGTGCAACTCTTTGACTTTGGATTCACCCGCGAGTTGCCACCCTGCAATTTCATGTCGTACGACGACGAAGAACTTGCTGCCACCGAGGAAGACGACGACGACTTGCTGTATTTCATGTCGGGCAAGGGGTCCTTAATGTACCTTGCACCCGAAGTGCTGTACAATGGACGGTACAATCGCAAGGCAGATTGCTATTCGTTTGCCATGGTCTTTTACGAGCTCCTCACGCTCAACAAACCCTTCACGTCCGTCACCAACCAACAAATCTTTCGGGAACTCATTGTTCGACACAAGGCCCGCCCGTCCCTGGAGCTTGCCGAGATTCCAGCTTCGGTACAAGACTTGCTGCGAAACGCGTGGAATAACACCGTCTCCCAACGATGGACCATGAAACAGATTTGTGAGCGTCTTGAGGATATCATTATCGAGGAAACCCAGCAGCTGGATCGACATGGAATGGAAGTTTCAGAGGAAGAACTAGAAGAACACATTATCACTCCAGCCACCAGTCCTTTGTGCGGTGGCGAGATGGTCGATTTGGTGCTCGACTTTGCCAGAGACGTTCGACTGGGATTCCAGATTCTCACAGGGCAAGACAAGACGTTGTCGTTGCGATCGGGTCCGATGGAAGCCCTCTTCGAAGAAGAAGACGAAGAGGATTCCTTGGTGGACATGTTGAATGACATGTTGGCTGCTCCTCAAGAAGAAGACAATGTGGTTCCAACCATTGAGCGTCAGGGAACGGACTTGTCAAACGCGACCATGGCCACAGAAGAACCTTTGGAAGTGACTTTGGAAGAGGCCTTTTCGACATCGGCGGACCACTCGCACAAGGAGAACCAGCCCAGTGCTGAGGAAGACCAACGCATCGACGAGCACAGCAGCTACAAGGTGCCGGAAGAGCGCTGCCCGCCATCTCCTCCATTGGAGAGGACTACCAGTGCCCCAGCGGCACCAAACGGCAAGTCAAGGGTCCTCGGCGATATTCAAGTCCTCCAAGTCCCATACGGCCTCCCACCCAGGCATCATCATCAGAGTGCCACCATGAAGCCATCCAGGAGGCAATCCTATCATGGCAATGGACTCCTCCCAACTCCTCCTCCACCGGAAAGGCCACAACGAAGACAGTCCTATAATGGTGACATGTTCTCGGATGATGGCCCACAGTGGATATCCTCTGTTCCAGCTTTCTAAGCTACATGTATCTACCAACCTGTGTATACGTATTCCAACCTCCATTCATATCTTCCAGCTGTCGCTATATCGCTACTTACACATACATCCCATGAAATGCCGTTTACCGAGAGGCTGCGACACAACCGTCCATAGATTTGATATTCATATTCTTGTCAACCAACCAACCAGTTCCATACAATAAGCAATAGATGTAAACAAGTAAAGGAAGTAGAATTGAATTGAGTTAACCCAGTGTATCGACATACGGCGATTAGTAATGAGACTCAGTTTGGAAGAAGAATGCAAGAAAGACAACCTGACGGCTCTTTCATGCAGTACCAGGTACCAACAATCCCCGCCGGCAATTGCTGGGGAGTTGGACTTGGCACTCCAGTTGGTGCAGGCATTGCAAATATGTACGAACGTGGCTTGATATACCGACCCGAAACCCACGAACATTGGGGTTACTGATGACAATACCGCACAACTCTTTGACTTTGGATTCACCCGGGAGTTGTCACCCTGCAATATCATGTGGCACGATGACGAAGAAGTTGCTGCCACCGAGGAAGACGACGACTTGCTGTAACTTGATCGGTCTATAATACATTTAATTGTTTTCTTTCTATACGCTACATTGCATCGTCTCCATCCAGCGGTATCAGGGGAACAAAAGTCTTGGTAAGATCACTACAAACAATGATCACGGGAACTCATGCTGGCTGGCTGCAATCGTGAGCCTGCACTCGAGAGTTCCATTGCCGATAGATATAAGATCAGCGAGGAGTAAAGCAAGGCATCTCTTGCTGCGGATTGCTTGTGGTTGGCTATTCTTCCCCAAAACCCTTGCCACCAAACTGATTCAATTCACATTGCCAGGAATTTGTGACCAACGACGCACCCCACCGTGAAACAAGCGACCGCCCACATATTGCGATGGATCCGTCCTGCCTTTTCGGTGCGTTCCAGCTCCTTGGCCAGTCCATAGTTGATCAACCGGGAGCGTTCCAAGTCCAACAAATCCTTATGATGGCAATTTTTGCGATTCTGAGCCTCCAGTTTGAGATTCTTGACTTCTTCGCATTTCCCCATCCATCGTTTCTTGTACCATTGGACCTTTTTGTGTGCTTGTTGTTGCTTGGGTTTGACTTTCTTTTTGGATGCTTTGCTGCTCTTGTTGCTGTTGGTTTGTCGCTGGTTGGGCTGAGAAGAGGAGGAGGAAGAAGCAGAAGATTCCAAGGTAGAAGAGGAACTCTTGTTGTCATTATCTGCGGATGCAGTGTCACCAGCTTTTGCAGACACGAAACTAGAGTCATCAGTTCCTTCCTCCTCCTCCTCAGTTTCTTCCTCATCACTGTGGCTGTCCTCCTCTTCATTTCGGTCGTTTTCCTCTTGTTGCGACGCACGGAGATAGATTTTGACAAAGGAAGTTGTCTCTTTCTGACATGTCGGACAGGGGACACCCCCCTTATTACCATTTCCAGCTCCCTTCTTTTGGTAAGAGGACCATTGTTCGAAACAGGATGCATGAGCTGGATGCCCACAAGGAGCCGCCGCGCCAAAATCGGCCATTGGCTCATTCGTCATTGTTTCCGTGTCATTATTTTCGGGTGATACACACAGCAGATGCTCCAGGCATATCACACAAATATCGGATGAAGTATAGTTGATCTTGGTAGTAGCCATGATGACAAATGGACTCGACTAGGAGATATGCCCTAAAGTACCGGTATGACAACGCCGCGGAGAAATATGGCAAAAGATGGTTGAATTTATTTTCTCGAGAAATGTGTCTTGGTACGATGGAGTCGGGCCTCTAGCTTTTCCTACACGTAAACAAACGCCACTCACAACGACTCGAGCGATGGTTCCCTCTCAACTTGCCATGTGGAAAGGGCCAGCCAGTCCAGATTTGTTCCTCTTATCGGCTTGTGGTGGGTGTCCTTGGTTCTTGGTTAAATAATAATAATAATAATTATCTATTCGTTGTGGCGAAGGAGAGAACGGCTGGCCAGCTCTGGCGAGCAGTCACGAGAGATTTGTCACGATACATTAAGGTCAAGGTCAACAGAGCATTTGGTTTTGGGTTGTTGGTTTGATTAGTCTACCCGGGTACCGGTACATGTAGTACAGTATGTGGACGCATCTGGGGGATGGAGAAATCCTTCCCAACCATTGGCACCAAGGAACCGTTACCGGTACCGGTACTGGTCCCATAATTCTTTTCTCCACCCCCCAGTACGCTGTACAAGAATGGGATCTTTCTTGAACCAAAAGCAACCAAGCAGGTAGGTGTTGACATCATGCATGAATCTATTCGACAATGGTGGACCTGTCGTCGTTTCTGATCGAGAACAAGGGTGATCTGGTAGTGGAGAGGAGGGAAGGACAGGGTCGCTTGGCAGTAGCCACTCGTCCGCTCACAAACCTCTTTGAGACTGTAATACGGGAGAAACCAGCGCTCATTTGGAGATCGGATGATTTTGTCCACTATTTACAGCAGTTCCGGTCTTCCTCTTCCTCGTTGCAAAATGTCATTCTGGACATGTTTCATCCTCCCCTCGATTCTCCTGCAGTGTCCGACTTACGAGAGGGAGCAATGGAGCTGGCACCGTTGGGAATTTTCACCACAAAAGGGAAAGAGAGTGTCGATTTTATCCACAAACTGTTGGCCATTGCCAATACCAACACGCACGAGTATTACGGTGCGCAGGACAGAAACACTTCCATGTCGGCTCTGTTTTTGTTTGGCTCCAAAATGGCGCACTCGTGTCATCCCAACATGACCTACACCTCGCAAACCGACGATGGTGCTCTCGAGTACAAAGTCATTCGACCCATTGCAAAAGGAGAACCTGCTACTTTCTCGTACATTGGAAACTTGTATCGTACGCCAACTCCACAAAGACGCGCGTATCTGCTACAGACCAAGGCATTCACCTGTCACTGTGTCCGTTGTTCCAAACCCGACTATTGTCGCTACGCCAAATGCACTGGTGGTTGCAACACCAAGATCCTCGTCCCCGACGCGCAAAACGTTTGGGCGTGTGACCAGTGTGGCGTTCGAGCTGACATTGCCACAATCGAACGACAACTGGCAGACCGGCTGGAGAAACTGTCCGAAGCAAAAGGCGATCAGTCGCCCCAACCACTCCAGCAAATCGTCCAAGAGTCCTCCAATTCACTATCAAAAGTTCACTACATTACCATCACAGCACTGGAAAAACTATTTGTCTTGTTTGCCACCAAAGCCAATCAACAACAACAACTCGCAAAACTCCTTGGTGGTGGTCTGCGTTCGTCTGCAGCGGAACTTCGACTGGAAGCCGCTCAGGCAGCAATGGCAGCCATTGCAGCATCCGAGTGTGTGGCACATGGCTGCCCTGGGGGCAACAATGATGATTGCAATGGCACGCATCATCATCATGAACCACTCTTTGAGATGGCCGCCTTGATGTACCACGCTTGCAAACAACTCCTGGAGGTGAACAGCGACAACAACCAGATTCCACAACATGCCGTCACAATGGCCCAACGCTATCTACCCGTCCTCAAGGCCAAGTTTGGGGAGAACCATCCCCATTTCAATTTGCAGCCAATCCTCCAACAAATCATTCTCCCTTCGTCAGCATCATCCAATAATAATATTGACAAGAAGAACAACCACAGCAAATGTGCACATTGTGGAAAAGAGAGGCAAAAGCTCCTGCGCTGCTCCCGATGCCAGAAGACATGGTATTGCCACAAAGATTGCCAAATTGCTCATTGGAAGGCTGGACACAAGGCCGTTTGTGTGCGTGTCAAGGAAACGCAGACAAGTACCAGCAAAAGTTAAACAAGTAGATCAAAACATAGAGACGTCGTAGCGTACCGTGTTGTAGCCACAGGAAGCTTGTGCCGTTTGTGGCGATCGGATCGCCCAGTCAATGCTCATACTACATGTACTGGCAGCCAGCACGACGGCGTGCACTATCTACCGATATTAGCTTCAATAACTATTACAACTATCTTACTGTATCTAGCTTGCTAGCTAGGCTTCCTTTCTCCTGATTGGCTGGTAGGAGCATCTCAGACCACCACCAAAGTAATCAGCCTTTTTGAAATCAAGCTCGATGACTTCAACGCCGATTGCTCGGACCTTTTCCGCTACCTCGGTAAATCCTTTTCTCATCATGATGGTCGTTGGGTTAACACAAATGCCATTGGTTGCCATGACTTGAGCCTGTTTGGGTTCCACTTCAACCCATTGGCGATTCTTTAGTCGATCAGGCAAGGCGTCAAAATCCACAAAGTCCTCTTTGCAAATGAGACCTTGGCGTTCGTTGATGAGCATCATGGCACAATCCAGATGCAACACGTTGGAATTCAACGGTACCTTGTGCACTGTATAGTCGGATCCCAATTCCTCCCGGAGCCACGCAATGCCATTGTCGTTCGAGGCATTGCCGGTAACTCCGACGTAAATATCCTTTCCGTCCACAAACACGTCGCCTCCCTCAAGGTAGGCATTGGAGTCGGGATATCCTGCTTTGTTGGGTGGCATACTGACCACTGTACCATTGTACTGAGTGGCAAGTTCCAAGGCAATGCGGCGATAGCTGGGTGTTTCCTGTCGCCTGTTTTCCAGATTCATGTTGGTGATGATTGTCTTGTTTCCAATGGTTACAATGGGATCACGAGAATAACAGCTTGACGTTGCAATCACTGGGAACTCAATCTCATCAGGTCGACGCACTTTGACTCCCAGACTCTGCAAGGCTTGGACAAGTGCTTCTTGCTCGTCACAAAACAATTGGTCATCAGCTGGATAGGCCTCGGATAAGAGTTTGTTTTCGGCCTTTCCTAGATAATCCCATGCCTCTTGAGTAATGTATGGAAATGTTGCTTTCACACTCTCTTCAATGGTGGGCATTCTCAGTGTGTTTGGTACCCAAAGGCCAACCACCACTTCTTCAAGTGGATCCCATTCATGGTTGTTGCGAATGACTAGTTTTTGTACTGTTGCTTCTGTGTTGTTGCTGGAGCTCATTGTGTTACGGTGTTTGTATCGATATTAGTATATTAGTTGCTGTGTTTGTTTCGTTTGTTTCGTTTCTTTTGCTTTGTTGTATTGTTGGTTGTTCGTTTTTATGATAGCTACTTCCGCATTCCTAATCCTCATTTGCCAGAGAAGTTGAAGGACCAGCATTACGCTGTGACTCTGTGGCATGGCTCTTGAGCTCTCTAGCTAGCACCAGTGCTAGCTAGCTATTATGCACAGATCTACTTTCTTCGTGCGATTTTTCTCATCATGCTTGGCTTTTGACGCCTGTGGCGGTATGTAATGACAATGTTGCAATTCCAACCTTACCGGTAGTACCTGGTACCTGGTACCGCCAAGCAGCGGTACCATAGTACCATGATACCGGTATTAATTAATACTGGTATTGACGCTTGAGATCGAAGTGGAACTCCAAAAGAGGAATGCAGTAAGTCTCTCATTTATTGCACCTTGACTCGGTGGCACGTGCACACGTGCACCCCTTTCCATCGGCAATCGGTACCGCTGGGGTCCATTAAAGTAGACTACGCTGTACTGACTGCTGGACTACTAGCTTTAAAGCTAGCAAAAAGTAGTATGGCACCGAAAAATTATTGATGTCGGTTGTACCGGTACCATGGTACCGGTGGGCCGGTGGGTGCAACCAATCTTCATTCACTGGAAGCTGAAGCTGGCTGCAGCCTAACTCCCCACGTTGTTGTCCATGTAGCTCCTTGCAGCGCCGTGATATATGTGCTACTGTATTCGGCCATGGCTATCTCTATTGAGCTTGCAAAATCCTTGAGTTAGCTAGCTAGCTAGGCTAGAAAGTGCTTGCTTGCATCGTGATCATTTCTTCTTCAAACTAAAGGCCGCTCTATCAAACCGGTTTTTAGTCCCTTTCAAACTCAAACTTCCAAAAATCCTTTGAAGCATCGCTGCCCACTGCCCACTGCCCAGGCTCATAGGGTGGTTCTTTACTTTTGGCTTTTAGTAACCAGCACACGGTCAGTACCGTTGTGCCTACTACCTAACAGCCAGAGAACAAGGTCAGTGTCAGCTATCTGCAACAGTTCAGAATGGCTTTTCTTTTCAAAGCAAAGTTAAAGTAGCTACTGGAGTAAAGAGCAAAACTGCAATGGAAAGAGGGCAGGGTCAGGCAAAAGCGTACTACCTAGTACTTTTATAAAAAATATTTAAAAAAAAATGGCCTGGCTGGTTCGATTCAAGGTTCTGTCAGATCGGCCATGCGAGCGAATCCGATAGCACAATGATGATTCATTCAGTGGTACACAACACACCAACCACTGGTAGCAACATGTTCGTTGAAGTATGAGCTAGAGTATGTCAGCCAACAGCCATCGAAAGCAGAATGCATAACTTCAACTTGGTTTGCTCGCCCTTCTCCAGAGCAGGTACAAGTGTAGTAGCTACAGTATAATGCTAGAATGAACAGGGGGTGAAGGGAGCACCGCTGTCTACAGCTCTGCCAACCGGTAGAGTACTGTACTCAGTAGAACTCAGTAATAATGACATGCTTTGGGGTTTGGTCAGAAACCTGGGATTTGCTCGCCCTTTGGCAAAAGCTTGGCAATTGGCAACGTCCTCGAGAGTCGAAACCGAGAGTGCGACAAGACTGCCGCGAAGGTTAAGAAACACATTGATGTTTTTTGTGCTGTGTGAGAAGAGCTGTGAGAAGCCAGCTGGCCCATGGAAAGCATGGATGAAGGAAAGAACATGGATTGTTCCACTTCCATGAAGGTTGCCATAAGCCGCACTCGAGTTCCTGGTAAGAATTCCAAGAGGAAAAACACTGATTCGATTCGAGCAAGAGCAAAAGAGCCTCTGAGCTCGGGCAACCCCGCAATGGTAAAAAGAAGCTTGTGGCGTGTACTCGTACCGGTACGGAGCTAGAAACCTTTCTTTATTCTTTATTCTAGCTCCAACTACCGTTGCCATCTATACCCCAAGCAGTGAGTACTGCACCAGACAAGGAACAGCGGTACCGTAGAAAACAAACCGGTATTATTGAATGCTGAGGAATGAAATGCTACGCTTGCTAGAGCTCTTGCTAGCTAGTAGCTGGCAGGAGGAGGAGCTACCCCACCAGCCATCTTAGTGCTTGGTTCTTTTTGCTTGTCTGGGGAATAGGAAACTTTCCGCTTCGGACTGACCTCACGTTCTCATCACAGTGGTGAACGGGAGAACCTTTTGAAACCACACTGAGTAGGTCTACTCTAGAAACAGGAAACAGGTCTGCTAATTAATAAGCTACCAGCTGGTACGCTGGTACAGCAACCGGTGCCACTATTACATGCACTGGCGTCACTAGATAGCTAGTAGAATAGCTCTACCGGTAGGATCTACTAAGTATGATCAATAGATCTATTGGGTCTGGAGACGGATACGTACATGTAGATGATCTGCAAAGCAAAAAGAAAAAAGAACCTGCACAGGAAGGCCCAATGACCATGATCAAATGTGTTTGGAATGCTCCTCTGTTTCCGCTTCGTGTTCCTTGAACTCGTTCATGAGGGCATTGCATTTTTAGGAAACAAAGTTTCAATTGCTCCTTGTCTCACAAATCCACCTTCAAAGCAATCATAAACCACTCCGCTGACCTGACCTAGTTGCTCTAGAGTCGATAGCTTCAACCCCGTTACCATGACATCTGCACTCAACTCGTTCTTCTCGGAGCTTATGATCAACCATCAAGTCGATGCCTTCGTTTCTGTTGAGACCGATAACGCCGCTGGCCTCGTTGTTCCGCCTTCCAAGGCCTTGAAAAAGAGGAATGCCAAGAGGTGCCGGTGGGAGAGTTGTCCACATTCAAACGGAAAACCACGAAACACTCGTCGGGGAAAAGATTCCTCTCCAACTCCACCCCCACGAAGAAGGTCCTCATTGAGCAATCAAAGCCTGGACGAATGTTGCCATCTCGAAGGAGGGATCATGAGACACGTTTTGAACAGTGGGGAGAGATGCCAACCCATCATTAGGACAAACAGTCGCAAGAACCAATGAAGCAGTGTGGTCTGTCAACGATTGAGCCTCCCTCAGTTTTTGCACCGAATCATCCCCTCGGCAATGGGGAAGCTACTGCTGCTTAGAAGAAAGGTTCAGATCGAAAGCAGACGAGCAACACTACGTCTGTGAGGCTACTGTACGATAGATGCATGACTTAACCCTGTAAATCACTACATATCATCATACATCCCTACTTGCCTTAGCCAGTCTTCCTAGCTAGCACCACTACGTTTCTCCTCAAAACGATTAGAAGAACCAGATATCTCCAAAGAGAGGTTGCTATCCTCACCGGCCAGCCCGTCAGAAGCAAAACTGTGCAGAACAACATGAGACGAAAGATACTGAACCACCTTGCACTGAAGACAAAGTTTTAAGATCCTTAGACCAAGAAATATGATATCCGTGTGTGACTAAGTCTCCAACTATGTAACTGCCAGTTCAGTGAAACTGGCGATCGCCTTGCTGAAATAAATGTGGCTTGCAGAGCGCAGCTAGTTTCCTTCCTTCTACTCGTCCTATTTCTTTTGAAATCGTCGTCCCAAACTTCCCAAAAACATGAGAAACCGAAACCGTTTCGACGGCTTGTAGGGCTGACATTCTGGAATGGGCAAAGGCTTGCCGACTCCGTACATGAATCCAAAGGCACCTCCTAGTCCACCGGTATTGCCTTGTCGTCGATCCGCAGTGTAGAATCCAAATTCGACCACTTTTCCTTGTTCATCAAAGTCAATGTGTTGAATTTGCGGAGGATAGACAATTTCCTTGCCCGATGGTTCGACGCCCATAAAGGTTCCCGTGTGAATGGCGCGGATGCGACTAAAGAGCCAAATGCGGTTGGGCTGCAGTGGATCCACGGTCATTCCAAAGTGATTGTTGCGCAAATCAAAGCCGTCTTGGAGTTTGAACGTACCGAGCGCATTCAAATACTCTTGTTTGCCAATGGGACCCACCACGGCTGCACAAAATTCAAAATTGTCGGCCAGACAGTCTCCGCCATCTTGGGTGCCGAGCGCTATTTCGGGTGAGAGGACCTCCTTGGCTCGTTCCTTGAGTTTCTCGGGTGAGATTGGAAAGGTGGATGCTTCGAACAGAGCAGCTTCATTGGCAAACTCTTCACCCACCGAAAAGGCTTCGGTTGTAGCGTGCAACGCGGTGGCAAAAGTCGAAGTGCGAGGTGTGGTGGTGAAAGCGGTGGCTTGGCCGGTTACGGCTGCCACAAAGACAAGGAGCGGTGCTGATACCATCATCTTCGTTGTGAGACCAGAAACAATACCGTAGGAGGACTCTTTAGCCAAGTTGGGTTGTTACACGATACTTACTTATTGAAAGATATGGCTGGCTAGGTTGGGCATTTGCAGTGATGGCTCGGCCAAAAACCTTATTTGCATTCTGACTCCATCGTTCTGCAGAGCAATGTGAAAAGTGATGACTCAGCCGATGACGTCATCCTCATTTCTGTCCAGCCCGAGTGAAGCAACAACACAAGTGAGTAAGCGCACCAGCAAAGGTTACAATTCGCACTCTCAGGTGCTATCATGTGGCCCACTCTGCTTTTCATTACTGGCATTGGCGCTCTTACTTCCAACAGAGTGGACGCCTTTGCGGCGGCTGAATCCACCAAGGATTCTGGTTACTTGCGCCCACCGTCCCGCCTTTTCGCAATTGCTGCTGCCAATGACGCGAATGAAAACCAGCCACTCCATCTGGCCACTTACTTTCAAGAGCCCTTCCAGGTAGCAGTGTCACAACTGTCTCCCTCGAGAATCGTAGATATGCTTCCCGCGGGATCTTCTTCTACCAGCGACAACAATAATAATGCCAAACCCCTTCGCCAGCAGCTCTTCACGTCACCTTTGATATCGGTGTTGTACGAGCGGGTGCTCCCGCCGCTGTGGGAGGCAGGACTCCGGATTGGTGGACCCGATGCCGAGTATCGGGCCGCAGAAGCATTTTTCAGGCAACAGTTGGATGATGAGAGCGGCAGCAAAAATTATGATTCATCTCCAAGAGTGCTCTTGGATTTGTCGTGTGGCACGGGGTTTGTCGGACTAAGGTTTGCATTGAAACAAAAACAGAGCCTTTTTGACCACGTCTTTGCACTGGACTATTCTCCCCAAATGCTGCAAGAATTGGTCAGTTCGGTTCAGCGACGACGACAAAAGGAGGTCACGCCAAAACTATCCATTCTGCGAGGAGATGCACAAAACTTGCCATTTCAAGATAATTCCATGGATGCCATTCATTGGGGTGCTGCCATGCACTGTGTTCCAAACGCGGAACAAGCGCTACAAGAAGTCTATCGAGTCTTGAAACCAGGTGGGATCCTCTATGCGACAACTTTTCTGCGGCCCTTTCCCGATCTGGTGTTTCGATTCTTTACCGTGCCAGAATTGCAGGTCATGGCCAAACAGGTGGGATTTGGCACAACAAATACCAAAAATACAGTCGACAACACTACAAACACAGCGATATCTACTAGTAGTGCCTTGAAAGTCGAAGGAAAGGGAGTCTATGGTATCCTGAAAGCAGTGAAATGAACAGTGTGGAACCGGTCACTGCATACAATCCCAGGCCAAAGCCTCAGCTGCTCAGACAGAGGAATGGAAACAGCGAGGTCGGATGGTCTCCGGAATGAATGAAGGGTACATCGAATGACTTTACACTCTGTCTTCCTCCATGAATCAGCGTTGCCACCGACAAAGAGCAGTCACTGCCTACAGATACAAAGTTGCAAACCAGATCGAACGTCATTTGGTTGTGCTCGTTGAGAGACTCCCCTATTTATTAAACTATAGCTGATTTCGTAGCGGTGCCAACGGCAAAGTTTTGTAGTTGGTCCACTTTTGCCGTGGCGCCCCATTCCCTGTACAAATTGATGGCACAACCCATGTGATACTGTGATTCGCTATGTTCCCCCCGGTCGGAAATGTAGCGTGCGAACCGTTCATTGACCATTGCCTGCTCATGTACAAGACCCAACCTGGCAGCAAGCGCAATGGCGTCTTGGTAGCACTTCTTTGCCGGACTCTTTCGCCCCACGAGAGCGGCATACTCGGCATCCAGGAGCTTTTCAATGTGTGGATAGTTTGGGTTCCCCTTTCTGCTTGCTACCTGGATGTGCTTGTGGCATTTCTTGGCTCTCAACAAGTACTTGATCTTCTTTGTCTTGCGAAAAGCACTGTAGCACAGGACTCCGGAATGTCCTCGGTATGCGTCATCCACACTTGAACCCGGGTTAAGATCTTCCTCTTGGTACATTCGATGCAGTTCCAGCACTCGTTCCGCACCATTCACATCGTCGCACATGAAGTAAGCCAAGTGAATGAGGGCATAATAACAGGAAGTGACAACCGAGGCCCCCATCACCTCAGTGTTGAAATCGTCAATGTCAAAGACACCTCCCTTCAAGACAAGCGGATCCTCCGTTTGTCCCATCAGGCATTGCGCAACTTGCCACTTGTGGACCGCGGCATTTCGTTGCTGGAACTGTGAAAAGGATCGCATCTGCTCTGTATAAACCTGCCAATCCACGTTGAGCGAGTTCAAGTTTCGGCCGACAAGAAACGAGAGATCCAGATACAATAGGGCATTGAAGCACGCATTTTCAACATCCCCAGTTGCCAAGCCGCTCGTATGCCCCTGCACAAACTTCTTCATGCAAGTCTGGTATGGAAGGCTAGCGTGAAGAACGAAGTGGTGCGTGATGAAGAGAGTCCGCGACAATGCCACCTCGTACTCGGGTTTCGATTCGGCCAAGGAGACTGCGTAGTTGGCGTACGTGCGGGAACGCTCAAAGTCCTTGAGCTTGGACATGAAGATCAGCGCCACGAGCGAGAATGCGGAAGGAGAGTATTCCGACATCCCGTGCTTAATGCTCCACTGGAAGCTCTTCAAGATTGCGAGTGGGAGGTAGTCGGACCGCAACATGTAGGTAATTGTCGCGAGTTTGTCCAATAGGGCCATTGCTTGAATCTTTTGCAGATCTGTCATGTTTTCGTGACATAGCACTGCATCTGGACCAAACTTTTTGGTCGCCCCATTCATGTGCACAATCCCCGCCAGAATATGCAGCACTTTGGCTCGTTTGGGCAACTTGCAGCCAAGCTCCGAAAGGACGTGAAGTGCCATTTTCGCCGCTCGCTTCATGTCGTTTGTGCTCCAAACATAGGATATCAGCACATTGTAAGCTCGAAACCTTTCGCTCATGGGTCGGTCCTCTTGAGTCACTACGGCCATGCAGTGCTCTTGCATGTTGTCGCTGCCTCCAGTACAGTACTCGGCCTCGGCTGCCGAAGTGTACAGCTCCAGACTCAATTCATATCGTGTTGTCCAGTGTTCTGGAGGCAGGAAGTGGATCCCCGCTTGCAAGTACTCGGCTGCTTGCACAAAGCTTGCGGAATTCATAGCGATACGCCCGGCTTCGAGCAGCAACTTGGCAATCTCTACGCATTTCCACTCTTGAATATCGGAGCGATACGCGAGGCCCTTGCGAAGAAGATTGGCCACCACCAAAATGTTTTCGGTAATCTCGGTGGGCGTCAAGTTTTGAAGTAGAATTTCACCCACCCGGAATTGGAGCGCATCCAATCTATCCCTTGGCACGAGCGCCCGGGCCGCCTCTTGCACCTTGTCGTGCACCCAGCAATACTTGTCATTCTCTAGCCTTGTGATGAATCCCTCGTCCACGCAAGCTTTTAACCATTCGTCAGGACTGACTTGTTGTTGTTGCTCCTTCTGTGTATTTTTGTTGTTTTTGTTGGGTCTTGCCGCCAGTTGGAAGGCTTTGACCACCGCCGAAAGATGGCGGGCCAAAAAGGTGGACCCCAGTTGTGCGGCTAGAGGCAGAATTTCAAACATGGCACTCGGTAGACTTTCCATTTTCTTTTGCATCAAGTCAATCACATTGTCCGTGGCTTTGGTGTTGAATACAATTTCCTCCAGGTTCCATGTCCATTTCATGAGACCGAGATGAAATGTCAATAGTTCTTGTTCGGACAAGCCCTTGAGGAACTCAATGACAAAGAACGGATTTCCCGCCGTCTTGTGGTGGACTACTTTTGCAAACTCCAGTGTCGTCATGCATGTTGTTGTTGTGGATTCTGTTGCTTCCATGCTGAGTACTTGGGCCAGCATTTCATTGACCGCATCCACCGATAGATTGGCCAAGGACAGCTGCGTCAATGTCATTGCATCCCCATTTGTTGCAGCAGCAGCATCCTCCAGAACACGAATCCAGTGTTTCAGCGAGTTTGCCTGAGAGTCGGTCGTGTTGTCTGTGTTGTCTCGGTAGCACCCCACCACCACTAGACCTCCCGAGTGATGATGATTGTTGTTGTTGTCATTGCTCCTTGTTACCGTCGTTGTGTCGTAGACATCCTGCTGGAGCAGCAGCATTTCGAGCAACTTGAAGGATTCTTCATCACACCACTGCAAGTCATCTAAACAGATAATGGGAGGATTCTCCCATCGCCCAATGGTCCAAAGAAACTGTCCAATAGCGAACCGGAAACGATGAGGAGCTTCTTCCAGTCTCATGGCATTCTTGTTGTTGTTGCTGATCATGGCTTGTTCCGGCATTTCCAAGAGTGCCAGTAACGACGGCAACAATTGAGCAAGTACACACGCCGAGCTTCCCAATGCTTCCCGAAGGTCCTGAATCTGTTGTGCCGAGGGTCTCGCAGCCAGATAATAGTCACAAAGACCCCGACACGCTTGTGTGATACCCGAATAAGGAGTGTGTTGCTGTGAAAAATCAAACTTTCCTTCGACGCGTATACATTGCGAACGCCGTATCGCGGCCGCCACCAGAGCGGTCTTGCCCACACCCGAGCTGCCTCCACACAAAATCACGTGCTTCTCGCTGTTGCGACAGCGGGATGATGCTTCCAGAGCATGCTGCAGGACTGCCAATTCGTGGGTTCGCCCACACAGGTCGTCGTCATCAAAAGAAAATTGCAACTGCGTGATTTCTTCCAAATCCGGATTGGAGGGTAAGATGGAACTGCTCTTGGGTTGATAAAAACTCGACCGCAGACTCATGCGTCGTCTCGAGCCAAGACACGTCTTGTGGTTGAGGTCGGGACTGCCATCGTCGGGACTGTGGCTCGTATTCCAAGAATGTCGAAGGCTGCCGCTGCCTCCAGAGTTTCGGAGTGGATCCTCCTTTTTCCTCGTCCTCATCATCATGCGTAGCGTAGGATTGCTTTTTAGAAGAAGTCAATGAAAAAGACGAGAGATTAAAGGCTACCTGGAGAAGAGGTCGGTTGCTTCCATGGTTGTGGAAGCTGGTTGTGGGGGTCGGAAGGTGGGATTGCCAGATCTGGATCGCTTTTTGGAAGACTGGGCCGACAGTTTACACCGGCTTTCACCAAGTTTACCGTACCCTCCTTCTTCGAAAGACAGTCATTGGACATTGGAGACACAGACCTGTATGACCCCAGAGAAAACATTAAATCTTCGATGGTAAGAAAAAAGGCAATACGGTAGGTTAGGCCTCTCATTGGTCATTGTCAACAGCTCGCTCTGGAGTTCTCCTATCATCGATACTGGTACTGTATACGGTACTGTATACTACTAGACGAGTGGTACTCAGTACTCAGTACTGTAGTACTGGAGTACTCTAGTACGACTGTAGATCATTTCTTTAGCGGGGGTAATACTAGACTGAGGGTCTTTCTGGTTGCATAATTGTTGTTTTTACAGGTTGTCTCCTGCGAAACGGTGGAACTTATTTTTTTGTTTCGTTCGAACAGGTTTCGAGTTCCAGTGTTGACGTGTTGACTGACTTTCCGCATTGTCTAAGTATCGTGGATCCTGGGCTATTTTCTGATCAATCGAAGCACAAAGAAGCAAACATGCCGCCAAAGAGCTCTTCTAAAGTGAAATAGGAGGGAGTCGAGTCGAGTCAGTCTTCTGTGTCTTGAGGAGCCAGTTACTTCTCTCCCTTCCTGCTGCACAAACACACAGGCAGTCGGCGGAGCACAAGAGCTGTTAGGAAGGGGCAACTCTGGAGGAGCCAGTGCTATATAATCTCTGATGATGAAAGTTGGATCAAGCGCCAAGAAGTCAAGCAGAGGAGCTGCCTCTGAAGCCAATGCTAATCAGTCCAAAACTGGTGGCTCCTTGGAAGCAAATGCTGAAGATGTTGACAATAAGGCCCAAGCTATTGATGATGATGCTGTCAGTCGAGCCGACAGAACTGAAACAGACAACCTTCCAGTCCCCCCTCTTTTCATTCATTCTGCTCGTACAACTTTCTCCCATCCAGGGGCTTTCTCGGTCCCTGGAATAGGAGGAGCCAGCAGTCGTGAGCTAACAAGGAGCTCCCAGTCTGACCCAAGCCTCCCCAACAACCAAAACGACTTCGGCAGTCCTCTGGATGCTACTTTGGTAGATCAGGAAGCACAACAACAAGAAACAGGACAAGTTCGAGTGCAACTTCCAGAAGCATCGAATGTTATGTCCATTAGGAGCAAAGAAAACGAATCACCGTCATCCTCTTTCTCTTCCACTCTCATCAATGGATGTTTCTTTGTGATGACTGCAGTGATTGTTGGATTGGTACTCTGGCTGGCAATATCACAACTATCAAACCAAGACTTCGGTTCATCTGATCCATCTGTGGCCATTGGTACATTCGCTGAACCTGCTTTGACCAACAGAAGCCACTGGTACCCTCCATTTGACAGTGCATTACATCAAAACACACGCAAGGCAATTCTGGATGACCCAACGGGCCCCCAAGCCAGAGCAAACAATTGGATGTGGGAAGATCCGTATCTTGACTCCTATCCCAAGTGGCAGAAGATACAGAGGTTTGCATTGGCTGTTGTTTACCATGCAATGGAAGGAGACAATTGGTTTCGAAATGACAATTGGCTATCCTATGAGG